AGATTCGCTTATATGATGGAAAAGAGGCAGAAGGGAATTGGAAAGGCCTGGGTAGAGAGTGAATGTATCATTGGATAGAAAGATGGATTCTGGGGAGCAGAGGCTTTGTGATGTCATCTGCAATTCAAAGGTGCAAGTGACCGAAACATTGTAGTACATGAGGTGTATTTGTAATTAATCCCATACAAGTATGGTATCAGAAGCTTGAATAACAAAAAATACGATGCAATTCCGTTCCCATTTTTTCTTTGAGATACCTGCAGTTGACACAACAAGTGCTGGTTGTCTTTAACTCTGAAACAGTGATTTAAATACATACTTTTTCAAATATCTCTAAAATCAAATCACACTGCCTCTTCATCATGCAGCTAATATGCTTTTAGAGGAGCATATGAAACACTTAGCAATCTCATTCTAATAAAAATAAGAGAAAACTCTAAACACGTTGATGTTTCATCGGGACGTGTATGTATATGATAAAGGAAATGAGATCGCAGAGTGGTAGTTAAAGTGAACAAAGCATTCTGATAATACTTGCTTAATAGAAGATTATAAAGAAGGATATCTTCATTGGTACCGAAGGATTTGTGTGTTCCATCCATGCACGCCAGAAAAACTCTCATGTTTCCTGTAAATTTTGATAAGGTAAATCAAAAAACATACGAACATTGGAGAACTTTCAAAGAGGATCATTTACCATCTAGATTAATCAGTATCCTATGGGAAATCATTTCAGTTTTTAATACATGACTAAAGTACACTAAACATCAAAAATATGTAGGGATTCAGGATCCTAGTCATTGTCAGTGAACTTCTTTCATATAATTTTTAACTGTGAGCACTTGATGTGCTGATGTGTAACACTGTAGGGATTCAGGATCCTGGTCATTTAAAAAAGAGAGGAATTGACATGAGAATCCCGAGAATTTGTGGCATATGAACTTGATTTTTAGAACAGCCATAAAATCACACCCGCAAGTGACGCAAATAGGATAATTTATGCATATAATTTGGTGTGTACAAAGATATGTGACACATAAAAGAAAAAATTCTCACCAATACCTGTTGGCAAACACAATAATAGGAAAGGCATATTTGAAATGATTAAAACATAGACAAAACATATAATAATTTAATTGAGTATTCAAAACAAGAAGTCAGCGTGCACACCCACGGACCATACCAACAGGTTCAACTCTTGCACATAGTAAAATAAACTTATTGAAATCTGTACTCTATAGGAAGAATTCAGGTAATGATATAACTCACTTAAGGCTCACAGCTTTGCAATGACTAAAGATCTGTATGCGGAGCATGTAGTTTCCCAACAACTTCTCTAGGGAACCTCTCAAATCGAACCCTAAGCACAACCATGTATCCAACCAAAAGGTCCTGTAGTTTTCTATAAGATTCTGCAACAAACTTATAATCATCATTGTTTATTGCTATCTACCTGGGAATCTCATAGTCAAATCATGCACTTGTTGTGCAAAACTCTCGGCTAAAGCATTGGGTCTACCTCCTAATGGTATTGATAGTAAGTCAATAGGTTCTCTAAGTTGACAACATGTACCAATATTAAATAGACTTAACCCAGTAAACCTATTAACCAAAATATTATATGCAAACTCTACTCATAGGCAACACCAATTCCCACCTAGACACATGATCACCAACTAGGCATCATAATAAGTCTCCTAGACCGCGGTTCACCACCTCAGTCTTCCCGTCAATCTAGGTATGGTAAGCCATTGAAAATTGTAATCAAGTATTGAGCTTCCTCCTGCTGCTGATGTGGCTCCTGAGCCTTGCATCTCTATCTAAAACTAAAGTCTTAGGAAGACCATGCAACTGAACTACCTCTTTAAGAAAGAGATGTACAACATGGGAAGCATCTGCAGTTTTGTTGTAGGGAATGAAATGTGCCATCTTCGAAAAGCAATCCGCAAAACCCAATATCAAATCATGCTTCCGAAATGTACAAGAGGGACATAGGACGAAGTCCATACTAACATCTTGCCATGGAGAAAAAGGTACATGTAAAGGAGTGTATAAAACTATATTCTGCTTCCTATGCTTAGCAACTTGACAGACTCGACAGTGTGACACAACTCTTGCTACATCTCGCTTGACACTCAGCCAATAAAATCTACCCTCTACTAATATCATTGTCTTATCTCGGTCAATGTGTCCAGCTGCTCCTTTCACATGCATTTCCCAAATTAGATGATCGCGAAAGGAGGTGTTGAGAGTGCACAAGCAGGTATCCCAAAAGAAAAAGTCATGAACGATGGTGAAACCTACTACAATAATAGGGGGGTCCTATGTCAAAGAGGCATAAATCTCACCAAAGTCCCAACAAGTACGGGAGTCCTGAATGACAAAATCAAATCCTATCACTTGTGCAATCATAGACTACGTAGTGGTGACCTTCCTACTCAAAGCATCAGTGGGTTTGTTCTCAACACTTGCACAATGTTTTAGAACAAAAGTGTACTCCTATATAAACTCAACCTACTTGACGTGTCGATAGGATGATCGTCTTGACTCAACACGCCTCCAATACCTACTCCTGAAGTATCACAAACTACCTCAAATACCTTTGAGAAGTCAGGAAAGTAAATGGCTGGGGAAGTAGTCATTATATCTTTTGTATCTCATTAAAGTTCCAAATTATATTGAATGTTGAGAGAAAATTAAGTAATATCATCTTCTATATATATTGTGATATCACTCATATGAATTTCTAGCTCCACCATTGATGAGTAGTACCTGAAAATTCAGGGTGTTTGGAGTATCAGAGCTAAAGTTAGCGACTCATGGGGATGGAAAATAATTCATAGAGTTAGAATCCTAGAGACTTGCTCTACTCAAAGTGGGGAGATTCAATTCAAGAGAGAATGCAGGTGGTCTAGAAGGGGTAAATTAATCATGAGAGAAGTATGCTTGGATTTGCTGAGCCCTATGCCTCAAGTAAACTGGCCTCTACTTTTTATGGAGGATTGAACTTCCCAAAACATTTTATATTGGGTACCTAGTTACTCTTCGCAGTTATTTAACTCAAGGTAGGATTTCCCTTTTGGGACTTGTGATTAGAGTTTGCTATTGTATTGGTTTACTGAGTGCTGCAGGAGGTGATAGAGCTCAGAAGATGTGCATTGATGGTTGCAGTGTATGTGTCGTGGAATAAATGGAATGCTCGACTGCACGAGGGAAAATGTAATGAGCTGAAGGTGCTAATTGGCTGGATCAACCTCTGGGTTACGTCGATTTATCATTACCCTATCCCGCCAGATTCTCATGTTTTTGGGCTCAGATATTAGAGTTGTAATGTTTGTTTTGCTACTTTTTTTCGTTTTAGTCCCATTTGAGGGGTTGTTAGTTGTCAGGCACGCCTGAACTTGACACTGTATATACATTCCAGTTAGTTAATGAAAGTTATCTTTCATCAACCAAAAAAAAGTACTTTGTTCTGGTATTCGTTTTGTTTTTTCTAGTATGCTTGTCTTTGAGCACATTATTCTGCAAACTCAGCCGTAAAAGATATTTTCTTCTAATATTTGTTAAGTTACTTTCAGATACAGTGGAAGTGCATGTCAGTCTAAGTTGTATATCAACGTATAAATTAAGATACTGAATATAAGATTGGCCACAGCAGTTAATATGTCCAGCTAGCTCAACTGCAATGGAAAACAAAGCTTCATCTTCTTCTTCATTGAGAAACTCAGAAAAAGAAATCCATTAACCTCCTCTGCTAAGAACTTGTTAAATGCAGTTGTCGGGAGGAGATGTCAAAGTTCTACACTTAAATCTCTAGTTCATCTTGGGCTTTCAGATTATTTCTTCTTTAATATATGTTAAGCTGCGTTGTGTTGTGGACCCTTTTTTTTCCAATAATTTATTCATAGTAATCTAATGCTGGAAAATGATAATCTGATTGTTTATAAAATATGTTGTCATTAGACCATTTTTTGCACTTAATAACAATTTTCAGTAATCTACTTTTCTGAACATGCCAGGTTCTGTATAATTTTGCAATTTCTTTCACAGATAAATTTAGGTCCTAATTTTGAAATTATTTTCTATTAATATAGTATCATTTTTAGTTTTCTTTTGCTACTAACTTTTCTTTCTCATACTTCTCTTCCTTGAACTTTCCATAAATAGTCTGCAGTATGTGTCTATATAACCCTTGACGCCATCGATTGTATAATTTTGTAGCCAACAAGGGTGATAATTGTTGATAGAGATCAATACATAAAACCCCTTGTGGAGATGATCAATACTCTAGCATCAGAAAAAATCACAATGGACTTGAAGCAGACACAAAAGCTCATCCATCAAATATGACAGTCTTCACGAAAACAACAATCTTAGGGTTGATATATCAATATCATCTTTTCAAAAAACAGCAATTTTGGGTTAGGGGAGGGTGAATCTATTTGATGGTAACTGCATTTTTTTGTGAGAGAAGAGTTCAGCATTGAGGATCAAGAAATCTTACGGCGATATAGTTATGTGTTGGAGTTCGTGTTTTGTTCTGGGTTTGTAGGCGATATAGTTATGTGTTGGAGTTCGTGTTTTGTTCTGGGTTTGTAGGCAGTTACAAGCAATGATAATAGAGAGGCACTAAGGGCACACCCTCTACCACACTCCCAACCACACCACCTCTCTTGCTACAGTACACAAGGGGCTCATATGAGATTTTAATTTTTAAAATCTCATGTGCGCCCCGTGCACTGTAGCAAGAGAGGTGGTATGGTTGGGAGTATGGTAGAAGGTGTGCCCCTATCATTGTTTATGATAATATAATTCCGTGTGGCTTTCATTTGTTATTTATTTCCGTACTTTGTACTTTTTAGATAATACCCATGCATTGACACTGTTGCTCTGCGTTGTTTTCAGTTGCTTTTTGTTCTTAGTCTGTAAATAGCGTACCTGTATGTACAAATTGGTCAGCTTCTATGCACTACTTTGTTCTTTCTGTTGATATGGAATCATCATTTATCACTGTCTTCTTAACAATTGAAACAAAAAAAGGCCAGAGAACAAAGAAAGAGAGGAATACAAAAGAAAAAGGGAGAGTAGTGTTGTCAATTTAAGAACACCAAAGAAAATTGATGTCTGATTACAAAGCTAACATAGATATCAGTACCATATTCTTTTGCAGGAATTACCTCCATCAAAGATTACCTTTCTTCTGTACTTGCAACATTTCCAATGCTTTGCACATCACTCTACTTTCTAATTTGCAACTCTAGTACCATAATCAACTGATATTCTTTTGAATCATGGTCCCCATCTATTTATTACCCAAGGCTTCAGGAATTGGCTGGCGAGATGAAGCTTCTTTATACCAAGCCAAATCCTTAGGAATTTCCCTCTTGCCAGCTTGCCTCTTGCCAGCTTGTAGTCATTAAAGAGGTAAGCTTCATCGACATCTTATATGCACAAATGGAGCAAACACAGAAGAGTCACAGCAAGGTATAATAAATCTGAGCAGCAGCAGCGCCCCGCTTGCTAACTAAATATCCCTGGCTTCATGAAAAATAAAATATTCATGTGTAACAAGTTAGACTTGTGTGGAATAGTTTACAAGTAACATATAAAAGAGCAGTTCCATTTTACATGTATCTGGCAGGCAAAATATACTAACCTTTTGAGTAATTCCACATTATATATATATACTTCGTGCCAGTTGATAACTGAGAACCAGATTTTCTGGCTTACTCAGGGACTAACTGCAGCTGACCCCCTGTACTATTGCCAAATTGAACTTATTACCCCTGTAGTTCTATTGGTTAAGATAGATCCCTATGTACTATAGCCAAATTTAACTTACTACCCTTGTAGTTCTAATGTTGCAGATAGATCGTATCTGCGACAATAGATTGTTACTCAGGGGGGTCCATCTGCAACCAATAGAAGCCTTTCTGGGGTTCTATATGCAACAATTGAATCACAGGGGTAGTAAGTTCACTTCAGCGAAACTCCAGGGGGTCTACCCACAGTTAAACATTCTTTCAAATAGAATCACAGGGGTAGTAAGTTCACTTTGGCGATAGCACAGGGGGTCTATCCGTAACTAACCCTTCTTGCGAATATAAGCTCGTGCTGTGGCTGAACTCATCGTTGATGACAAGACCTAAATCATAAACTTGTATCAGGAAAGATTGTCAACAACCACTGAAATCAGGAATTCTAACCAATGTGGTATCTGAATTTCTTCTCAACCAAATAACCTTGCAACAGAAACCAAAATTAGAGGAAAAGAAATGAAGTCACTTCACAACAAAATGCACGCCCATTAAAGATTGTCAACAACCACTGAAATCAGGAATTCTAACCAATGTGGTATCTGAATTTCTTCTCAACCAAACAACCTTGCAACAGAAACCAAAATTAGAGGAAAAGAAATGAAGTCACTTCACAACAAAATGCACGCCCATTAAAGCTCAGAAAATAATACTTAAACCCTGATATTTGGTTCAATTTCAGGGCCTTAATCATCAGTAATGTTGCAACCATTTTGTATTTGTTTGTAAATAATTCACAACATGTCTCAGTAACTGTCAGGAGGTGCATGAATTCAAAAATACATGCATTTAAAACATAAGTGAGTGGATCACTTATCTACTTTCTAAAGGGATGATCCTGCATATTACCTCTGAGGACAAAAAGAAGAATGCACTCTCCTCAATGGCAAAAGATGAAATAACCCCAGCAAACAACCAAAGCTAAAAGCCCCAATAGGGAACATATAGTCTTATCAATCAGTCATTGTAAGGACCTTACGAACTCATCTACAATCAGTTCATGACTGTGAGGTGAGCCTTCATGTATGTGCGCGTGCACAAATATTAAAGAGATTATAGTGCCAAGGCACATTTATGATATTCAGTAAAATTAAGTATCCAGAGTTCCACTCGGTACCAATATGTTCAGAATAAGAAAAGTAACAGACCTATGAACATTTTGCTATTTAAAATAGGGCAGCATTGTGCTAAATAAAAATATAACCAGAGTGTAGTGCCTACCTTTGATCTCCATCACCTTTCAAAACATTTGCACTTAATTTTGAATCAGCATGCCACTTAGTGAAATCAGGAAGTAACTCCAGAAAACTTCGAAAATCCTCATCCTCCGGATGCAAATCAACTAACATGGAGAAAGTAGATGCCTCAAGTGGGAACTTTAGTTCATCCATCTTATGAAGGAACTTCTTGGCTTTCTTTGTCTCACCTCTCTTGAGCAAACTTCGGACAACCACATTAAGCATAGTAGAATCTGAAGAGCATCCATATTCTTCCATTGATAGAAACAAATTATCAGCTTCATCCAACAAGCCTTCTTTTATAAGGCCTTGCATCATAGTCGTATATGTAACAATATCCGGAACTAGTTCTTTAACAAGCATATCACTGAAGAAGTCCTTGGCCGCTTTCGTTCTACCTGCTCTAAACATCCCACTAATCATGATGTTAAAGGCCTCAACATCTGTTGTATACTTCTGGGTTAACATGCTTTGGAATAAATTCATTGCTTCATCGATGCATCTGTTTTTACATAGCCCATCCAAAATTATATGGTATGTACTACTGTTGAGAGCTACCTTGTCATGAATCATCTTATCGCGCATTTTTCTTGCATCACTGACTCTTCCTACTCGATATAATCCTGTAAGCATGGTGTTGTAGGTGACATTTGTCTGCTTCAGTTCTTTATTAGGCATCTCCTCGAAAAGCCTCACAGCCATGTCAATCTTTTGAGATCTACAATAAGAGTTGATCAATATGGAATATGTAAATTCATTTGGGTTCTGACCTTTTGCAAGCATGAGATCAAAAACCTTCAATCCTTCATTCATTTTACCTATTAGACAATATCCGTCTATAACAGTGCTGTAAGTAACCGTGTTAGGCTCCTCACCTCTCTGAATCATAATGTCCAATAATTTATGAGCTTCTCTAACCTTTCCTTCCTTACACAGAGCATCAATCATTGTATTGTATGTCATGACGTTTTGATGGAATCCTCGATCATTCATTTCGGCGAGTACTCTCAATGCGTCATCCCATTTTCCTAGTTTGCAAAATCCGCTCACCAACGTGTTATATGTGAACATATTAGCATTGATCCCTTTGTTAACCATTTCATTGCGCATACTCTCGACATCATCCACTCTTCCAGCCTTACATAATCCATCCAACAATATGTTATATGAAACAATGTCAGGCTGCACTCCAGCCTTTTGCATTTTCCTGAGTAAGTGCATAGCATCATTAATTTTATTGCTCTTGTTATAGCAATCAATCACGGTATTGTAAGTCCAAATACTAAACGGCAAACCCTCCTTTTGCATGGAGTTCAGAATTATTGCTATCTCATCAAAGCGGCCTTCTTCTGAATAACCATTTAACAAAATGTTATATGAAATAATGTCAGGTTTCAGACCACTTTTAGCCATTACGTCAACCATTTTGTGTGCTTCATAAGTCTTTCCCTGTTTACAAAGGGAGCCCATCAGCGTGTTGAAGGTTACAATATTTGGACGGAGACCATGATTTACCATCTCTTTGAAGACTCTTATTGCTTCTTTCCAATTTCCTCGAATAGAATGTCCATGGATAATGCAGGTATAGACAACAATATCAGGAGAAATTCCTGCAGAAATCATTTCCTCATAGATCTTCATGGCATTATCCATCGCCCCCTGTTTGCAAAGGGCGTCGATAATTGTGGTGTAAGTGATTGCATTAGGCTTTACTTCTCCATGTGTTTCCATCTTCTTAAGAAACTCAATTGCCAAGTTCATATTCCCAGTGCCGCACAGCCCTTTGATAAGTGTAGTGTATGTGTAAACATTAGGCTTGCATCCCCACTGCGGCATTCTATCGAGCAGCTGGGCTGCATCTTCAACCTTGTTCTGTTTACAGAGAACATTAACAAGAGAAGTGAAAATTACAACATTGCCATTCCATCCTTGCTTCATCATGGAGCAAAACAACCCAAAACAAACATCGAAATGATTCATGCTGCTGCAAAAACCAATCACGATGCCGTAGGTGAATTCATTTGGTGAAATGCCTCCAACCCGCTTCATCTTATTGAATAAGGAGACGATAAGAGCTAGATTTTTATTTTGGGTCTTCTTGATTGTCTTTAGGATTGAAGCAAAGAGGCGGTTGAAGGAGGAAACAGATGGCTTGGGATCTGCTTCGAGCAATTGATCGAACAGACTCAACGACTCTTGGATCTCAAGGTGATTCTGAAGTTGGCAACGTTGCTTGATGAGTCCTTGTAGTCTTCTTGTGTTGTCGAGAACAGAATTCGACTTTGAGGGGAGCTTGGTGCTCGAAGAAATCCTCATATTTTTCAGTGCTGAGTTCCAACGCGGAGCTGATCTACTACAGGACACAAGTGGGGCCTTTGAATACGCTCATTCATTGAAACAAGCTTAATCATCTCCCTTTAAAAGCATGAGTTTGACAAAAAATTTCGGTTGACAAAAATATTTTTGGAATTCAAATATTATTCTATTAAGTAAGAGTAAATTGATAAATTGATGAATTCTTATTGGATTACATAGTATGAAGATAATGATACAATTTAAATTGATATGTAAATCTAAATAAAATTATTAAATACCAAATTTATAAATGTCTACAAAATAAAGGGCGTATATACAAAAAATAAATAAATTAATGAGACAAATAATGTCTACCCCAAAGGTCGAACCCGAGAACAACGTAGACCTACAAATGTGCATAATGTGGATGAAATATTTACAAAATCTACCAAACAAATTAAAGAGATAAAAGTCATTCTCAAAATTATAAAAAAGAAAAATTAAGGAAAATAAAAAATCATACTCTTTTTAAAAGCACGAGTTCAGGAAAAGCTTTCCATAGTCAAAATTACACTATACTATTTTAAATATTTAATTTAAATTATAATCTATACTAATCATACTTATATCCTATCCTAAAATCTCATGGACTATCTATAGCTCAACAATTTTAAATAAGATTAATAAAATATATGAAACATCTCTGTACTATCAGTTTATTACATGAAGTATTACAAAAAAAGAAAAAGTTTTGAAAATTAGACAAAATACTCTCAAAAGTTTAAAATTACACAAAATAAAAAGCTAAAAATTTAGAACTTGGCAAAGAAAAGAGTAATTGTGTGATATTTTTTATTAAGATATATAAATATAACTTATAATTTAAGGTTTACTATCCCTTTTCAGAATCTGAAAATAGTCAAGTTAATACTAATAAAAATAGTAATAATAACATATTAAAAATATACTGTTAAATAATAAAAATTTTAAAATATATATGATAGATTAAAAATTAATGTTATTGTATAAATTAAAGTAACTTCATATAATTTTACCAATATGTTAGAACACCAAAAATACATAAGAATCATTAATTGATAGATGACTAAATCTCAAAAAACTGATAAAAGACTATAATATAATAGCTTAACATTAATTGATTATAATTTATAAATATTGATCTGTAATGGTAATAATATTTATTAGGTAAAAAATTATAAAGATTTATGTACGGAGAACTATTAGAAAATTTAGAGATATCCTTCAAAAGAATCAAGTGGTTTTTATTTCAAATAGAATTCAGAACGTCCATGAATCACTTCAATTAACACTAACTTAAGTTGTATTTATCAAAGAAACATCGACTGAATGCCCCTTGAAGAATATATTGAGCAACTTTGTGCTCATCAAAGAAACATTCTTCATAGAAGAAAAAAGAAAAATTACTATACTTTGCATAAGCAAAAAATATAAAATTTGCCTTTTTCTTTTTCTTATATAGTATCACGACCCTTTGTGTGATTTTATTTAGGGGTATGACTACTAACGAATAATCAATTCTTAAAGACACTCTCAAAGATAATGATGTAATAGCACTATTAGAATTCAAGATCTCTAAGTATGAATGTAGTATATTTCATTAGTAAAATTCTTATTAAAGACCACTAAATATAAAATTCACCTTATATCTGTCTCAAATTTATAGAGGAGATATGCATATCATCATAAATTTTGCCAATAATATATATCAATCCAAATATACAACTTACTGAAGAAATAAGAAAATAGTAAGTAAACCAAGCAAACATCCATATAACACCGTAAAGAAAAAATATTACATTTTAAAGCTAATATGCAGCGCTCTTTTAGAGTAAGCTGCCAAGACAAAAGCATCTCTATTAAGGCTCTTTATAAATACAACATAAATTCAAATTACTAATATATACAACCATTATAACATTTGAAAGAGGTATGATCTTAGAAAACTACTAATATATACAACCATTATAACATTTGAAAGAGGTATGATCTTAGAAAACCTACTCTAAACTTCATACAATTAAACCTAAGAATAATTTACCAATATACAGACACACTATCGCACCTTTAAGGCAACGATAACTACCATTTATAACAGAGTTGAGCAGTAGTTCTATGTTTGTAAATGTTGTAATAAGAAAGTGGATAAAGACGTTAATAATAAGTGTCTAGATGATAAATGTTGTAGAATCACTGATGATTTAGTACCAAGCTTAAGTGATATTCTTTCTTCATGAAATAAATATATCAAAATTAAATATTAATATTATAATCTAAAGAAAATTAATAATGAAAAATTTAGTGATTTAGTTCAGATCCTCATAGAAAATGACACAAACAGAGCAAAGGTAACATTATTACACAACTAAAATTCTTATTAGATGCACAACAAAAGAATTCATTGCAGAGAAAAAATAGGTAGCTCCTAATCTTATTTAAGTAATAAATTAAAAGCATAAAAAATTTCATATATATGAAATTAATATTTATTCTTATTAAAATAAAGAAAAATCAAAGTCCATATTATGAGAAGTTTGTGTTGAATATAAGAAATATATTCAACTTCTTTGTGAATTTAGACGAGAAGACAAAAGATAAATGAGCCCAAGGAAAGCTAACATGCTCCAGTCTCATATCAAAATCGATGTAGACAATGAAGATACTACTACTCTAGAATTGGCTGGGGAAAAGGTAAAGATGAAGAAGGATTGATCTCGACTCAATAAAAAATAAAATAGAAATAACAAAAGATAATGTTTTTTGAATTGTTATAGAATAGTTTTATTTTTTAGTAAAATTAGGAATCTTTAGAAGGGATTTTCATAAACTATTTTTAGTGCTTTAATATGCATATATGGATGTTTTTATCATATAAAAGTGTACTAGAGTTAGCATTAATATTTAGTTTATGATTTTTTTCATTAACCATTTTCTGCCATTTTAGCCTAGTTTAAATCAATCATCTTGGCTTGTTGCCTTTATTATTCATCTTCCTTTTATAATGTTATTTTTTTAAGTGTTTTCACTTTCATAACACAATACTTCCTTAGGTCAAGCTCGGTTTCATGCCGATCCAAATAAAATAAAAATTAAAATTGGCTTTATATTATATTTATCTCCTGACAATTCAACTATCAACATAAAAATTTAAACTGGATGTAGCCTATTCAAACAAATATCAAATAAATAAATAATTAAAGTGTAATCGAGGAACAAATTTTAGTAAGAAAATAAACCAAAATACTTAATCAAAGTGAGCAAAAATTATTATCAAAGAGTAACCGAGGAATAAATTTTAGTAAGAAAATAAACCAAAAATACCTAATCACAGTATTTAACCACGTGCATTGCACGTGCATAAAATCTAGTTGCACTTAAATACCCTACTATAGTTTCCCATGCTTTACATTTATATACCGTCACTTGCCACATTTATATTAATTTTTATTAGTTGCACTTATATCTCTTATATTATTTTCACAGCTCTTATATATCCTATAGTTTTCAAAATTTGCGCTTACAAATTCTAAAGTTCTTTAAATTTACACTTAAATAACTAACTAATGTTCTTAAACACTTAAATACCCTTCATTGCGCAAACTTGACGGGATTTAAGTGATGGTTTAAAAAAGTTTACAGTATTTAAGCACAAATTATAAAAATTTTAGGGTATATAAGTGCTTCCAAAAATAATTAGGGTATATAAGTGAGAGTTTTAAAAGCTCAAAGGTATATATAAGTTCTAGGAAAAAAGTGAGGGTATATAAGTGCAATTTAGGAGGAACTATATGTATTTAAGTGCAAATAAGCTTTTAAGAAAAAGAATGGATTTTTATGTTCGTCCGATGCACCTCCATAATGTGATATTAGTCCCTCAAATCATTGAAATTGCTATTATGTCCCTCAAGTCATATGGAATCTTGCAATGTTTGTCCCACACTACTGATCTTATTGTTAAATGTGTAAATAATGGTTGGGATAGTTCATAATCCAACACGGTCAGTTACTAAGGCTTCGTGTGGATGTCATGGAGTTTTCTTTGTTGTGTTTAATTTTTGTAATAAAAAAAACATATCATGGTGTTGTATTTTCTTCCTAAAATGTTTTTAGGATATCATGTTGAGTATTTTTTAGTAATGCCAGTTTGACCCATTATAACATTAGTATTAAGTATTTTATTAATATATTATATAATAAATATAATAGAATATATTATAAATAAAATATTATAATATTTACATTAAATTATTATAATATTATTAATATTAAATTTATAATATATTTGAGTTTATTAATAATACTTTAATAATATAAATAAATATTATCATATATTATTATTACATTAACATTTATTAGAAATATATTATTTCAGTATTAATAAATTAATTTACTTTATAATATATTATATTATTTATTATATAATATATTATTATTATATATATAATGCTTTATTACTATGTCTATATGTTATTAAATATATTATTATTATTATTCTATTATTGTTTTATTATTAAATATTTTACTATTATATAACATTTTTTAATCAGTAATTTATTAAACATTATTTATTAAAAAATTAATAATATTATAGTAATTATATAATATTGCATAGTATATCACTATATCATATTATTTATTATCAATAACTATTTTAAAGTATTTTTACTAACTTATTTATTATTATTATTTTTATATTATTTTAATCTAAATTATTATATAATACATTATCAACATATTAAATATCAGTGTCTAATATGTAATTATGTTATAATATAAGATATTTTAATTATTAATATATTTTATATTTTTTACAAAATATTAGAGATATATTAGATTAACTATAATATTATATAATATAATAAGCATGTATATAATAACTATATATTAATTATAATTAATATATTATCTTAGATATTATATTAACATCTCCTCAGACTAAAAACCAAAACACTAAAGTTAAAACACTTAAAAGGTATTTTGTAAAAAGTGTAGTGTTTTTGGTTTAAGAA